AAGCAGGGAACCGATCATCGCAAAGCGAAATTCCCCCATAGGGAACATTGCAAAGCGATTGCAAAATCTTCATCGCAAAGCGATTTCATCGCTATACGAAGCAATCACTATGCGAGGCACCACTGTATTTGAAACAATGCATTTCCCAATTTAAATCAACAGTAGCAAGGATGTAGGAGAGGATAGTATGAACATATCACATGACACTACCACCTTCCACCACATTACAGTGGTGCCTCGCATTACATTAATTCGTTCTAGCGAAATCGCTGTAGAACGAAAATGTTGTAATGCGAAAAGAAAAAGCCCACTGAAACGCATTAAAACCTGTTTAATGTGTTCCAAAGGGCTTGAAACTCACCGTCCAGCAAAGATCCTCCATAGGGCAGCCATTTCGGTGCCTGTAATATGAGGAATCCGTCCCAGAAAATAGCAGGGGGCCATTTCGGGAAACACAGCAGTCTGGTCTCTCTCTACGGTAAGAGCTAAATGCTACCTGTGTGGCTGAGAGGTTATTTCAGTATGGAAAATATATTGTAGATTACAGTGATACCTCACATTGCGGAAGAATCGGTTTCTGAAGCAGGGAACCGATCACTGCAAAGCGAAATTCCCCCATAGGAAACATCGTTTTGCGATCGCCAAAGCGATCGCAGAAACTTCGTTGTAATGTGGTTTCATCGTTAAATGGGGCAATCGTAAAGCGTGGCACCACTGTACATATAGTTATAAACTGCAAACATCAGAAGTCTTATCTCCCAAGATAAAATCAATGATTTAAAAAAAACCATTGATTTAAGTCATGATTTAAATAAAAAATCTCATTTTTAAATTTTAAATCATGATTTAAATTAAATCCACCATGTCCCCCTCTAACCAAGCAATTTTGGGAACCTAGACAGAACTTTGTGGTATGTATTTTGAGGCAGGGAAAGACGTGGGGCAATTATTCTTGGATTCCCAGAATACCCCAGCCACCACAGCCAAAAAGTATTTTTAGCCACCTTCTAGTAGGACTAATGAACTAAGTTATATTCTGCAGAGAAAGAAAAACTGTATTTCCTACAAAACATTTACATTTACAAAGTGACAGAATATCCCAAGGCTCTAATAACGAAGGTACAAGGTATCTATGTTCACTGATTTAGGAAACATATGCTAAGTTAAGATGCTGTTTATATGCAAGGATGCAGTCAACATACTGCACTCTCTTTAAAGAATCCTGGAAACCAGGAGGTGATGAGTGGTCTGATGGAAACAGAATACGACCAACATTCTGCCTAACTACATCTAAAATACTTGTCTTTCCCATTCTACTCTGGCTACAGAGGCTATCTGAAACACTGGAAATGGACTACAGAAAATTTGTTGTCAGTGCTAGCAGGCAGAATTCATACAAAAATGGCATGCAGAAGTAATTCAAGATCACTTACTCCATTAAAGACAGGTGAACCACTCTTTTTGCTAACACTGAAGCACACATTAACGCTCCCCTCTTTCGTGCATTAGCAATGTGGGAGAGTATTTTCCTCCTCACTTATTAAAGATGCATTTATACTTAGTAATATTAATTCTCTATTTCCATAAAGAAGATATACTATATGTACTTAGGTCATTATATTGTACAGCAGCCAACTACTGAGCTTGGGATTGCACTCCATATTTTATACTGAAATAAAAAGATTTTAAAGTGTGTGACAACTCATTTTCATTGCACAATAAATCACTTAACCATGCTGAGAAAGAATGTTATTCACCCTACTGCTTATTTGTAAACCACTTCTACCTCCAATCAACGTAGAAACTGTGGATTATCTTCCTACTCAACAACAAAAGGCACAATTATGCTAACACTGCACTCTTAATAGTAACTGTATGCCACCAAGTCAATTCTGACTTATGGTGACCCTTTCCAGGGTTTTCTAGATACAGAGTATTCAGAACTGGTTTGCCATTCCCTTCTTCTGAGAGTGCCCTGGGACTATGCAGCTTGCCCAAGGACACACAGGTTGGCTCTTCTGGGAGGTACAATTTCTGGCTCTGCAGTCAGATACCTAAACTTAAACCACTGAGCTATCAGGCCAATTTACACCGAACACTTACTTATTTCAAGAAGAGACTCAAATTAAAAGAATTACAAGTCAAACTGTTAAATTACTATTGCCTTATCTGTTATAAAAACTAGTCGACATGGGTTTTTTTTCACCTCTCCTATCTTTCAGTGTACTCACATGGTTGATGTGGTTACTTTTCCTCTTCTCTCTCACTAAAAAGGCAGAAAATACTTCAATTAATGAGCATGTAATTTTAAATATACTGTTTTTTAAAACACAGCATTGCCTTGACTGTCAGGCATACCCCTGTCAAATGCACATTCAAGCCTCATGAATCACAAATAACAAGTGTCACTCAATTCAACAGAACCACCTTCTATGTTGTATTGTCAGGATAAAGACATGACTGAAGCAGCTCACCCTATGGATCAACAAATCACCTTACTAAAAAAAAATCACATGCTATATAAAAGACTAATACCTGTGAAAGAGATATGGGAGGTGAATCCTCATAAAATATTCATTATTATGTAATACTATTATGATTATACATTAACTTACCATTTATTCAAAATAACCTACATAGCTACAAAAATAAATGCTGCTAGAAGTTCCAACCAGAGCCACTGGACTTTAAGTTGCATAACAAAGACATCTGCCAAGAAAGTAACGTTAAGTAGATTTTTCCTCAAGCAATGGTCATAAGACAATCACTCCTTGCCAAATTCCCAAATCAGCAACATGGCAATTGCTAGTAATTCTACTTAAAGAATGTAATAAAAGCATGCTTTTTTAAAATGTCCTGGCCAGACATCTATGGACAGTGGTCTGAACAGCAGTTTAAATATTGAAACAAACAGTACTTTAACAGAAGTGAAATGGGACAGAAATTTCTCAATCCAAATCTGAGAAAATATACTCTTTCCCCCCTCCCATGCTTCTTCCGAAAGACCCTGCAAGTTAGCTTACCATCTGTTTGGGATTTGCTCAAGAAAATTGTGCTTGCTCTAGGGTGGTCAGATGGATTTGACTCCAGTGCTAAATCTGAAACAAAGAACATGAAGCAATGTTATTCCCAGGTTTTATTTTCTTTTGAGAAATACTAAAACAGAAAAAAAAATTCAAGATTCATTAGAGAAACTCCCAACTACCATACATACTTTAAACCAAATGAATCCGCCCCTTAGAGATTCCATACAACATTTGTATGCATAATATATTCCAAATGCTCAAATATTTAACAGACTGTGGGCACATTCAAACACCACAGTAAATGAGAATTCTGGCTTACCATGAGCAAGCCAGCACTTGCTGGCCAATCACTCTTACCGGTAAGCAGGCAGGATCAGCTCAACCAACTATGGGACCACCTGTCCATAGTTTGCCTAGAGTGATATCTGAATCCAGAAGGAGCTGATACTCTAGCTTAACAAAAGAGAAACAAGATAAAGGCCAAGTTCCTGACAGGTTCAGATATCACACTAAACAAAGCACAGACAAAAAGACCATAGTTTTTGAGGTGCTCCCACTTGAGAAGCCAGCACACCTCCTCAGTGATAAGTTACATAGACAATTCTGGCTTCCTATTATGTGTGAACCCAGTTTGTTATCTCAGAATCTTAAGACTATCTGCATTACCTCAGGGATCTGGTAATGCACTACTGTTATGCATACTAGAACAGTTTTTTATTGATCTGTGTGATTCGACGTCCTACTCATCAGTGTCAACCTGTACAAAAACTTCAATTGCCAATATATTTAGAAACAAACAGGATCCAAGTCTGACCAGAAATGATAACTTCTTATACTTCAGTTAGATTACAGAAGTTGAATTTGAGACAAGTCATCATAACTATGCACAGAGTAAAAAAAAAAAAAGCCACAAAGCACGTGGTATGTTATGAGGTCATGTAAGGTCAGATTTTTTTTAAAAAAAAACAAACAAACTTAAACCCCTGCTCTGTGAAGATTCTCAGTCATCCAGGTGGGTGGAGGTTGGCACTGGCGAGTTGGTCACTGGTGAACAGGACACTCATTTGATGATCACCTATCTTCCCAGTCATTTTGGACTGGGAAGATAGGTGGTTTGAGAGAGGGGTCAAGGAGGCCATACAGGTGCATACAGAAAATCCCTCACTCAACAGGGGTGGAGGCCTTATAGAATCTGTCTCCTATTTATCATGCTGCCCTTTCTTAAGTACCCTGAAAGATCAGGACCACACCAACCAGAAAGAACACTGTTAACGACCCATGACAATGGCTGGAGAAGGACTGAAGAAGTGGGATTTTCACTCTCACACACCCTTCTTTGTCCATCTAACAAGTCTATTCAGACCAGGTGGAAGTGAAACTAATGTGGAAGATATATCAGGGGTCTCCTACCAACCTGAGTAGCAAAATGTTTCAACCTAAGAAAGAAGTTCAGTTACCATGACTCAACTTTCAGTTAAACCTCTTCTGTATACCAAACATGCTGCAACATGTTATCAATATTTTTCCAAACTTCACAACGTTCCTACTCTCCTGACACCCCCCCCCATAGATTACACCAAAGGCAAAACAAAACTATGTACAATCCCCTCTTATTTCTTGGATATGTTAAAAAGGAGGAAATGCTAATCAAATTAGTGCTTAAGAGGATAATTTTAACATTATGCCTGATGTAGAAGTTCTGGAGGTCCAGTCTACTTCCAGCATAGAGCAAGTAAACTATATCCCATGTCTCCTGGAGGCCCTGTACTTTTTTTTTTTAAGGAAGACTGGGTCTTGCTAAGCACCATAAAAAGGATGGTTGACCACATCTGTTGTAATGAATCCCCACTAAATAGGGCAGCACTATACTGTATCAAGCAATAGCAAGTGGCAGTGGCACAGTGACTCCCATATATTGAAGGTGACATCTGATACAGTTGCCAAGAAGGCTGGCCACAAAATGACCTACATTAAATAAGCCCCGGGTCACTTGTATTCAGGGTGGATTTGATTTAAACCGTGATGCAAATCACAAAATAGATTTTAAAAAATCAGATTTTTAGTGAAATCATAATCTAAAACATTGATGTTTTAAAAAATTGATTTTTATCCACCCTGCTTGTATTTTAGCAACAATTTTTAAAGTAATACTTTTAGTGAAACAATTTGTGTACTTTGTGATACTATATAACCCATGTGAGGACTCCTATCTATGAAGTAAGATTTGTAAACCAAATAATTTTATTTTAAAATACACAGAAAGAAAAGTCTACAAACAGGTTAAAAGCACCAACTATATGAACAACATTTCAAGCTATCAGTTTCTACAGTATGTAATCATAACCTTTTACTTTTCTTCTTTAAAATTTTAAATATTTTCTGCTGCTTACAGATATTTCTTTATTTGCTATATGTTCTAAGACCACACTTTTTTTCACAATCTCTTCATAAACGGCCCACTCTCATTCTGATTCCCAAACTCTAATTGACAGCATTAAGTGACTCTAACATGTGCCCCTCATACACAAAACAGAACCTCTGCATTCAGGAGCCACATAGACCAATCGGTTTCCTATTCAAATCATAAACATTGTTTCAAACTTTTCAACCATCATAAGAGCTACTACTGGAACATATCCCCCCTCCTACAAATGTGAGTCAACCACAGTCACATGCTATTCTAGCAAATACAGACCTATACATAAAACATATAGTTGATCACAATCTCCCAAGTAAGCATTAGGGGCCCCTATAATCCCAAGAATTTTAGTCCAACAATATCTGGGGATCCACAGATTCCAGGTCCCCATTTAAACTACTTCATATTAGATTATAATGAAACACAACATGGGATACCTATCCAAAAGAGACTGTAAGATAACATATGAACACATAAACAAGCTGACCTATACATTATATGGGCTGCAAATAAAGTACATACCTATGTAAAGAGTTCTAAACACAATTTGTCATGTTTCCAGGTAATCATGATGTCCACATGCCTATTTTCACACATCCAATTACACTCTTGCTTGGGCTACTAATCAGTGACGTGCTAATTGCATATCAAATGGGTATGTATGAAATACAGTGGTGCCCCGCAAGACGGGCGCTCCGTTTGACGAAACCGCTTGATGTTGATGTTTTTGCGATCACAAAAACGATTGCAAAATGATGTTCCCTATGGGGGAATTTCGCTTTGTGATGAGCGGTTCCCTGCTTCGGGAACTGATTCTCGCAAAGCGATTTTTTAACAGCTGATCGGTGGTTTCAAAATGGCCACCGGGGAAACAAAATGGCCACCCGATGTTTTCTGGGACGGATTCCTCGCTGCACAGGCAGCGAAAATCGCTGCGCTATGGAGGATCTTCGCTGGACTGTGAGTTTCCAGCCCATAGGAACGCATTAACCGGGTTTTAATGCGTTTCTATGGGCTTTTTAAAATCGCTTTACGATGTTTTTGTTCTACAGCGATTTCACTGGAACGAATTAACATCGTAATGCGAGGCACCACTGTATTGAGATTGACAAGTATCTCCCCTGTGACTCATGTCAACTGGCCCTTTGGTAATACAGCGGTATCTCAACTTACGAACGTCTCCATTCGCAAAATATTGCTTTGACTTGCAAACAGAGCCTTGAATTGCGAACTAAAAAAACAACAACCCTTTCCTGCCTTTTTTTTGATCTAAATTCTTCTTAGGTCAAAAGAAGAAGAAGAAAAAAATCTCCCCCTAGTGGTAGAGTACAGATTAACCGGCTTTGCATTAGTTCTTATAGGAACGAATGCCTCTACCTACCAACAGCGCCTCGACATACGAATGAAAAACAGCCTGATAGGATTAAATGGTTTTCAATGCATTCCTATGGAAAAGTTTGCCTCAACTTACAAACTTGTCGACGTACAAATGCTGTTCCAATATGGATTAAGTTCATAAGTCAAAGTACAGTCAACAGAACTACATGGGTCAGTTATGAACCACAGTGTTTTCCAATCCCAGTAAGAAAACCATTCAAATATGTAACTTGCAATGAAGGTGAAACCATGGTATTCCCTAAAATTATAACTCAGAATATTTTCTGATACAACCTACGTACTATGTGGATGTCATAATTTAGAAGTACTTAAGGGGCAAGGGGAAATAATTTTGAAGATGATTTTTCGAGCATGTTATAAATTAACTTGGGAGAACATGAAGCAAGGAACTAACATTAGGCAGGCATTATACAAATGTACTCATTATGGTTATGTCTGAAGTGAGAGTTACCTTTCTGCCTATCTAACTAAACTGGGGAGATAAAGCCACCCTTTCCTCGGAAGCACTGATCTGGACGTAGTACATGAGCCATGGTCATCGAACACCAACACATTCTTACCTTTTTATGCAATGTATTAGAAAAATGATAGGCAGTGGCTCATGCTTTGAGTACATCAGCTTGTGCTGGAAGTAAGCAAGAAAGACTAAATTCTACACTTTAAAAAATATATGGTCATACACAAACGCACACACAAACAGAATTAGTGAGAAGACTGAAAATGTCTAACAAAAAATAAAGTTAAGCTATGACAAAATAGATAATGGATTGTACGTTCTCCTATGTAAAATACATTTTGAACTGTAAACAGAATGACAGCACATTTCCACCTCATAAAGTTCAATATTTGGCTCAGTGACCAATACTTTTACATTAGAAATTTCTAAGGACTTGGCCTACGATCCAGAATACTGAGCTATGTCCTGCACTGGGCCTCCTATCTTCAAGTCTCCAAATAAGTGATCTTGGCATTTGAACAGGGCAATAAAGAAATCTACTGGTTTCACAATCACCTTTCTTGTCTCTAAGCAGATAAAACTTTGAACTGCTAAAGGAATGTGAGCTGCATGACTCAAGGTTTTGTATTAATGCTTCTGGGTAGTACAAAGGCTTTAACTGAAACAAGTATTTCAGGTGCTATAGCAACTAAGTAGTATGCAGAGCTGTTCAGGAAATACGTTTTCAACACTGGTAAAATTGATAGAAATTAATATTTCTTTAGTGACTTAAAAACATAGATTTAAATCAAGCCATCT